ACGACTCTGGTCATTAACTGTTGTCACAGCCATTCAATACCCCCGCCATCGGCCACAGCCGCCCCTCTCCCCTCGGCGCCACGGTTCCCCCAGGGCCGCCTCCCCGTCCCCGCGGTGGCCCCCGCCGGGCACCGAGCGCCCTCGCCCGGCCGAGCAGAGGGTGGGGAGGCGGGGACTTGGCCACGTCAAGAGCTTGCCCTCTCCCGGACGGGCCGAATGGGAACCCTGGCCCCGGGACAGCGCCAGCCGCGGCGACTCCCGGAAACCGCCCCCTCCGCCGCGCCCCGCCCGCGCCCGCCCGCCCGGCCAGCCGGCCCGGCCGGCTCTGTCAGCGCCGCGCACCGGGAGCGCCGGGGAAGCCGGAGCGGCGCCTGGCCCGACCCCTTTCCCGCCTGGCGGCTGTGGCGGGGCCAGGGCGGGGCGCACTTTTCTAAGAATCTCTTGTACTGGGTTGGGGGGGTGGGGGTGGGGGGTCGCACTGGGGTGCTGCCGGAGTGGGGCGCCAGTTTGTATTAAGTATAAAGAGCAGGAAAGGGGCACCAGAGAGGCGAGGGGAGACGGGCGCGGAGGAGGGGCCGAGCGGCTGCGGGACAGAAGGGGGAGGGGGCAGGGCCGGGAAGAGGGCCTGGGCTGCGGATGGATGGGGAGCGCTAGGTGGCAGGGCTGACAGGGGGGGCTTGAAGCAGGGATGAAGAGGCTTTGCAGGGCTCTTTCCAACCCGACGTGAGCCCCCAACCCCAAATGCCCCATTTCTAACCCAGCCATCCCCGCACCGAAAACTAAAAAAAGGGAGCGACCGATTTCTGAACCAGCATCTGGCCAGTGGCAAAAACAAAAACAATGAAGTGCAGAATGAAGAAGACCTCAAAAACAAGGGGAAAGAGCTCTGATTAATCCCAACTCCAGGCTGTCAGTCCCCACCCAACCACCCACCCTCCCTTCCCCCTCCAAAATCTGAAAGGTCCCAATTAAGTCAGGCCTGCCTGGTTGGTAATTAGAACCAGAAGTGGCCGGGCCACAGGGAGGAGGGGCACAGAGAGTGGGGCACAGGAGGAGTGGGGGGAGGGCTCCAGGAAGTCATGAGTCCTGAATAGCCCCTCTTGCTCTTCACCAGATGCACCCCACTCCACATCATCACCCCATCTGTGTGTGCTTCCCAGGCATGGCAGGGAGAGGGGGGTCTTTAGAGGGACCAAGGCATGAGGGTGTCAGACCCACCCGCCCCATCAACCCCAACCCCCCATTCTAGATAGTCTTAGTGTGGCCTTGGAGAGAAGGTAAGAGCATGGGGGAATCTAGTGCCCCCTCTTTCCCCCAAAGTCTCCCCAGCCCTTATTGCAGCAATTAGACCCATTAGCCTTCTAGCATTTCATGGGAAACAGATGTTCTCCACCAGCCTGGTGGGAGTCTGAGGGGGGCTGCTGCCTGACTCACCCCCTCCCCTGTGATCCCCACCACCACAGTGGCGCACTCCTCCCAGCTAGAGCCCCACCAAGGCAAGGCCCCAGAGGCAAAGAGGAGGGCACCCCTCCCCCTCTAACCAGGCCATCGGCGCTCTGAGTCTTGCGTGGTCACCCCTCAGGGCCTCTACCACTCTGGCAAGTATGAGTTTAGCCAGCAAGGGACTGTGGAGGGAGGGACCGCTAATTCCTCATACACCCCTCTTCCCCCCCCCCCCCCCCCCTGCCACCTTCTGGACGGGGCTTGAAGATAGCCCGGTTCTAAACTTCTTGTGCTAAATTCGCCTTTTCTTCCCAAACCTTTCCTCAAAAAGAACGGAAGGGGTGGCATCTCAAAGCAAAGAAGTCCCAGCCCCAAGGGTAAGTCCCAAGTTAGGAGTCCCAACTAAAAGGCAACGGAGGTGTGAACGAGGGACGCAGCCCAGAGCGGGGATGTGAGGAGCGCTGGCAGGATGGGGGCTGGGCCTGGGGAGGGGGCCAGGAGAGGGGGGTGCAGCCGAGGCCCCAGAACGGCTTGCCCAGCTCCCCCCGCCAGAGAGGTTTCCTGTTGCAATCAAAGCCCCGTTTGTGTCGGCCTGGAGCTGGAGCTGGAGCCCGGGCCTGAGCAGGAGACTGGGAGGGGAGGGGAAGGAGGCGGTCGGCTGGGTTTTTTTTTTCCTGGAGGAGGCCTCCCTGCCTCCTGCTTGCCACCCTTACCCGCCTGCTTTTTCTCCTCGCCACTCCCAGCGTCTGGGTTCTCTCTCTGTCTGTGCCTTCTGGCCTGCATGGTTCTCTCTCATCTTGCTTAGGTCTGGGAGTCTCTTTTTCAGTTTATTTGAAGTAGAACTCCATTTCTTCCTGTGTCAACCTGCCCTCCGTTTCTCCGTCTAACTTACTGTGGTACAGCAAGCCCCTTGTCCCAGGGATACTGTTACCAAATTCAAAGGACAGACAGGGCTGGGTCTTCAGAACCACAGGCATCACCTCAAGAGGAGGGAGAAGGCACAGCTCCCCTTCCCTCCTGTCACACTCTGTTCCCTGCAGTCTCGCTAAAGCCACCGGTGGGGACACAGACAACAGGGTTTCGTGCACATCTGTGAGCAAGCACACCCACCTCTGCGTTCCCGTGCACACAGGCCTGTGCTTGCCTTGGCAGCACACGCTCCCCTTCCCTTCCCTCTCTCCTCCTGCACCACAGGGTTCTAAGGTGCTGCCTCACCCACTCAGGCCTCTGGAGAACCCCAAGAGGTGGAACAAGACTTGCCCTATCAACAAGATGCCTGTCAGGCGTTAGGGACTCAACATAGGATCTAGGACCCCCAGGGAGGAGTCCCAGACTCCTTCATGGATGACCCTCCCTCCCATAGACTAACAGGCAGGGAGCAAGGAGAAAGACACCAGCGCACAGGAGTGTAACTTTGGCATCAGGCTTTGGCCTCTAATCCCTCTCCATTCGATGGCCCCAGCCAAAAAGAGACAGATGGACGGACGGACGAAGGGTCAGAGAAACGACAGACCACACTCTTTCACACTTCGGCTGATCTCCCAGATTCCAGAATCTCCTCCCCTCTGCCACCCTCTCATTTACTCTCCGTGCTGCCTGCTCCACTCCCAGGCAAGTTGTCTGAACCCAAACTTTCACCTCCTCCCCACCCCACCGCTGTCTCTCTGCCCAGGCCTGTCCCCTGCTGCCAGCCACACCCTCCCCAGATACCTGCCCTGCTTCTGGCTCCTCCCTTGGATTTCTCCTTTCAGTCCCCCTCCTTGGGGCAGCCTTTGGGGATAGAGCCCAGTGTGACTCTTTCCCCTACCTTGACCTCACTTTGAACCTTGACCTTGATCTCAATGTATCCAGGTCACAGGGCCATAAGGAGAACTTCACTGGGGACTGGCTATGACTCTCAGCACTCTCCCCACTGCCAACCTATTTCTCCTCTCCCTCCTTATTCCTGCTGCTTTAGCTGCCTCTCCCAGAACCTGGGAAAATCAAATCCCAAGGGACTGAGCTATATGGTTCTCTATAAGAAGTACATTCATGTGGGAAGGGTGGTTCCTTCCCACCTCCCCAGGCCCCGGGACAGATTCATGAGCTGTAAATGAGGTAGAGGAAGCCCAGCTGAGGTTTTCAAAAAGGGGAGCTTTGTGCTCTCTTATTCACCTGCATGCCACCCAAATAACCCCTGTCGGACTGCAGACTTACCACCAGCAGGCCTCACCAAACACCAGACACACCGTCAGCAGCCCTATTAAATCCCGCCTCACTCCTCACACTGACTCTTTGTTGCACACATTGGAATTCTGTATCTGAGCAGAGTCTGAGGCACATGCTGTGCACACACAACTACATATGGTCTTCACACACCCGCGCGCGTGCGCGCGCGCGCGCACACACACACACACACACACACACACACACACACACACCTTCTCCAGATGAGCACACTCTTTCCAGTAGAGCTGCCAGCCCTGTCTAGTCACCCCTTTACACAGACACACAACCCTCCAATTGCCCCTCCTGAAGGCACAGCCCCTCCCCTCCCACCTCTCTCTCTGTCTCTCTCTTCCCAAGCTTGCGGAGCTATAAAGGATGTCTTTATCTTTTTGTCTTTTCCTCTTGTCTCTATTTCTGTCTCTCAGGAACTGCTCCTCTCCCTGTCTCTCCTTCCATCACCTCCCCTTCTTCCCAGGTGAGGCCTTCTCTACGCAGCACACACGCTGACCCCTTCACCCACCAAATTCAGCATCCCACTGGGCAGCTTATGGGCACTCACTCCTATCAAGACCTGGCCAGGAAGAACAGCTATTAGGCGGGAGGAGGGGGCTCCAGAGGAAAAAGGAGAGGCCTAAGGCTTTCCAGCTGTCAGCACTCGGAGGCTTAACCCAAAGAGGGCAAGCCTGAGGGACAAGCAGGGATCTGCACAGCCTGTGGGCACTAAGCCAGACCTAGAGGGGGAGGAGTCCAGAACCCACGTGCTTCTGGAGCACCCCCCACCACCCTGGATCGCTTCTGGGAAAGAAGCACCTGGTTCGCGACGATGTCTACCCTTTCCAGAACCAACAGGAGGGTTCCCTGGCCCCACCCATCTTTGGGCATTTGGCACCAGAGTCCATTCCTCTTTTTGCAGCCTTCCCTGATTCAGAACAATTCCATCTCTTGATCACAGGGTCAGCTGACTACCATCCCAGACTCATCTACTTCCCAGCCTGGCTCATCACACCCCCCATGACATGCTGGAAGTAGCTTCAAACTTTAGCAGAAACCCCCTTGGCTGTTGTTCTCCCCTGCTAGTTGATTCTCTCAAGAGGTAATGTTAGACCCCTCAAAAAAAATTTAGGCCTGCTACTTTCCCATACTGTTTGGGCAGAAGGACTCCCATTTGCAAACACTTACATTTGTTCCATACCCAAACCCCCTCAGAGCCACCCCTGTCAGCTATCCCATTAGATCAAACCCCTATCCCTGCCTGCCTTCCTAATTCGGAAGCCAGTTTTCTGTATCACCCACCCTCCAAACGTCCTTCTGTTCCCACGTTCCCTCATCCCCAGTCCCATGAGACTCACACAGAGAGGCCATCTCCTTGGGGAGGTCAGGCTGGCCCAGGCCCCGGAAGCTAGGGCTCAGCATCTCAAAAGGTGGAGACCCCCTGAGCGCCCCTGGGAAGGCAAAGGGGAAACCAGCCCCAGGGTAGCCAGATCCAGGCCCCAGGGCGCCAGCGGCAAAGAGTCGTTCCTTATTGGTGGCCATGGCGGTGGCAATGGGGGAGGCTGAGTCCCCTGGGGTCTGCAGTGGGCGGGGGAGGCCTTCAGCCACAGCCCCCGCCCATGCCCACTGCCTGAACGGCCGGGGAGGCTCCGTGCCGCCCTTCCTGGCCTGCCCGCTGGGTCTCCAAGAGTCCTAGGGAGAAAGAGAAGAAAAGGAGGGGTGAGAGAATGGTCACTCTGATGTTCCAAGCCCACGTCCCTCTCAGTTGAAGTCTCTCCCCTCTGTTCTGCTAGGTTCTATACTGTCCTGGCTCAGGTCCCATGGAGGAGGCAAGGCAGGTGCTGAGGCAGGCTCAGAGAAACTCTGCTGGAAAGGATAAATTGAGTTTCCAAGGTAAGTGAGAGTGTCTTAGGGCTCCGGGCTGAGAAGTCTCCTAGGCTGAGAAGTGACCATTAAGAACCACAATTGGACTAGACACTTAATTAAACCCTCACATCAACCCTATGATTCCCATTTCACAGATGAGAACACTGAGGTTAGGTGGCTGGCTTAAGTTCACATGGCTATAAGTGGTACAGCCAAGACTCACTCTCTACCATCCTGGAGAAAGAAAACAACTCTATTGTGACTTTGGGGCCCTGTACCTCCCTGGAGCCAGGCAGCCTGGAATTGACCCCCACGGCTTGCTAGCTTGAGCTGCGGGATCTTGGATGTGTTACCTTACTCTCTCTATATACCTCAGTTTCCTCATTTGTTGATTGGAAATAAAAATAGGGACCATTTCAAAAGGTTGTGAGGGTTAAACAATGTAATATATGTAAAGTGTTTAGCATAATACTAAATGCTATATGTGTCTCGTGTTATTTTCCTTTGCAACTTCTTTTCCTTCATAGCTCTCTTTTAATCAGTGTTTCCTTCCCTATCTTCCTCAATACTCCCTCTTCCAGTTTCCCTATCCAGTTCTTTCTGTCTCCAATTATCCTCCACTCCCTAACCATTCTTGCACCCTCTCCTTCAAATCCACAGATGCTAAGAGAAGCCCCACTGTGGGCCAGGTATGATGCCAGAGAGCTCCTTTCCTGGTTCTCAGTTATTTTGCTTCTCCATCTCCTTTTCTCCCTCTTCTCTGAGCCCTCTGCATCCAGAAAGCCTTCCCTGCATCCTCTCCTCCTCAGATGTAGCCTGCCCCTTTCTCTGAGTTTTTTTTTAAAGGTGTTTTTTTGTGTGTTTATTTTTAAATATATATTTTATTGATTTTTAAAAATTTTTTATTTTTGTCAATGAGAGAGAAACATCGACCAGCTGCCTCTTGCACACCCCCTACCATGGATGTGCCCGCAACCTAGGTACATGCCCTTGACCGGAATCGAACCTGGGACCTTTCAGTCCGCAGACTGACGCTCTACCACTGAGCCAAACCAGTTTCAGTCCCTTCCCTAAGATTTTAAACCTGAGACCACAGGAGGTAGGAGAAGGGAGAGAGGAAATGGGAATCCTGAGGCCAGGCAGGTAGTGCCTCTCCTGATCCTCTGACAAGGGACAGATTGGCTTTTCCAGGGCCAACCAAACGGCCCACCTCTCTAGGGAGCTAGGTGCTGAGGAAGGAAAGGGACCTCCTCTACCAGCCAGCACCATAATGGACTGAGGGGAGGAAGGTGGGGAAGGACCAAGAGAAAGTGAAACATAGGAACCACAGGGCAGGCAGGCCCAGAGGTAGGTGGTGAATATTTCTGCATCTCTTTTCTTCTAAGGTCACTATCTCTCTTTTCTTTCTTACCTTCTTTTTTTCTTTGTTTCCTATCTCTCATCTCCCTCAGCCTTCAAATTGTCATGAAGGTAACAGGAACTCAGACCCCAACACCACCACCCTTCACTCAGTCCCAAAGCTTGACGCAGCTCCTGCCCCTCACTGGGCACCGCCCATGTCCCCAGCAGTTTCGGTCTCTTCAGCCCAGTATCTTCCCAGGCTCTCCAAGGCTGAGCCCTGAGCCCCCAGGGCCCCTCTCTTCTTCCTTCCCCTATTTCCAGAAATCCTCATCCCTGGTTGAGCCCAGGTAGAACCAGGAGTGGGGGGGGGGGGGGGGCCTGAGGCCCCTGGGCCATAGCTCAACAGGCTGGGCCACATTCCAGGTGGATTAACCTCTCTAATGCCAAGGGTGAGAAGCTACTAGAGCCCCCCCCCCTGTACCCCTTCCCATCTTCACTCAGACTGACTTTGGGGACATGGACACACTCTGTGCTCCAGGCCTCCCGGTCTGCTTCTCCCTATAGATGATAAACAGAGACCTGAGGGTGGGGCTGGAGGCCTGTGTGTGTGCGCGCGCGCGCGCGCGCGCGCGTGTGTGTGTGTGTGTGTGTGTGTGTGTGTGTGTGTGTATGAGTGAAGGGGCGGGGCATCCGGAGATGCCTCTGACTCCTGGTCCTTACTGAGGAATGAAGCTATGGGGAGTGAAGGACAGCCCGGCTCTACCTGACCTTCCCTCCATTTTGCCTCCTAGAAGGGACATGAGGGTTGAGTGGAGACAAGAAGGGAATAGTGAAGCATCCCATTTCTGAGTCTTGGTTTCTGTGCCATGGCTAGGAAGGGCAGGGGAGGGTCTTAAGTCCGGGATGGAGTAAGGGACCAAGGAATGGAAGAAGGTGGTGCAATGAGTAAAAGGAAATCCTCAGCGAGGGCCCCAGATGCTTGGTTCTTCGGGGGACCTGGGGAAGGGGGAGACGGCTTCTCTCCTCCCCATGCGCCACCTCAGACAGAGGTGGGGCTGCCTGGGGAGAGGGGCCGGTACAAAGCTGCCTCTCTTAGAGCTGAGGTGGAGCTGAGGGGAGGGCATGGATGAAGGGGGCTGCCGGATGGAGGGGGGGGGAGCGTCTCCCTGCTGCCCTACCGGCTCCAGAGCCTGGAACAAAGCTGCTCTTGTCGGCTGCTCTCCACCCGCTGCCCCCCTCCCCTCTGTATAAACACGACCACCTTTTTCCATGACCCCATCCCCAGCCTGCTGGGCAGAGAACCCAGGCATCCTCTGCTCTAGCCTGGGCCCCCCGCCTGCTCCCCGGGAGGTAGCAGATGGCTGGGTTTCCCTGGCTTTGTGCCACCCTTGGGTGAGTCCAGACCCTTGAGTCTCCACCTCTCATCCCCAGGTGCCCTCCCTCCACCTCACTGGCCCGAGGGAGGGGCAGTGCCCAGGAGGCAGGCAGGCAATGCCAGTGGAATGTGTGTGGGCACGGAGGGCATGGACAGGGTGGGGCAGAGGGGGGAACTGGAGGTGCCAGTTAGGTGGCTTTCTGAGCCAGGGGTGGGGGTGTGCCGGGTGGGGGGGTGTGCCCTGAGCTGCCTACCAAGCTGTAAGCTACTGTGTGCGTGTGTGTGTGTGTGTGTGTGTGTGTGTGTGTGTGTGTATCTGTGTGTGAGTGTATCTGTGTGTCTGTATGTGCGCGTGCCTGATTGGGGTACCCAAGCTCCAAGCACCCCACCCTCTGCCCCCTCCCCTGTCCTCCCTCTTCTTGCCTTAAGGATCGGGATCTGACTGTGGTCCTCAACCCCAGCTCAGCATCTGAGCAGTGACAGTGAAGGCTGGAGCCTCGGTCTGGAGGACTGGGATTGCAACTGCCTGGATACGGGCCCTGAAGGGGCACAGTCATCTCTGCTTCTCGCCCTGTAGCCTCCCTCCAAGCTTCCCCGTTTCTCCACACACATATACGACCATGCGCACTCTTACCCTCTGGCCACCTGCAGAAATTCCCTCTTACATGCTGGGTCAGGTGGAGGGGCCTGGGCTGTCACTGCTGAAGACAGAGAGGCAGCGTCAGTGCGGCTCCCACTAGGATTCCCGGCCCGTCCCGGTCTTGCCGTGCTCCCTTTGTTCCCTGTGGGCTCCCCTCACGAATACGCCCCAGAAGCCCCTCTCCTTAGCTGGCAGGAGCCAAGACTCACACCTCCGGCTGGGGAGATGAGAAAGGGAATCCTGAATGTTGATTCCAGGAAGCTCCACAGACCTCATCCACTTGTAGCCTCCAAACTCCGGGCTTGGAGTGCCAGGACCGTTCCTGTGGGGACCCACCCTTCCCTTGCCCTGCTGATGCCCCAGCAGTGCCAATCCGCTGGGGAAGGAGCAGCCTGGACCCATTTGGACCCAAAATCCACCCCTCAGACTCCCTGGGGAAGCCTCAGGGAGGGCAGGCGGTGGTCTTGAACTCTGACTCCCCTCCCACTCCAAGCACAAACCTAGGCTGGCAGCCCGGCTGGCTGAAGACTTCCCCACAGGCTCCCCAGCTACTCACCGAGGTGCAGGGGCCACAAAGCCCAGCTCAGCCCCAGCTTGTCTCAAACCTTACCCATTCCCTGCCCACCTCAGGGCTGACCCCAGGGTCGGGGCAGGGTGCCCCCCTCAAGCCCTTCTGACAGCCTGGCCGGCCCCGGCAGGGACGGAGCCCGCAGCGCTCCGCGGCGCCCCCGCCGCCGGCCCGCCTCCCCAGAGGAGCCTGGCGTCCGGGCGGGCGAGCCTGCTCCCGGGGCTGACTCACCTGGAAGGGCAGGGAGGGGAGGAAGGGAGGCCGCGGAGCCCCGAGGTCCCGGCGGCGGCGTCGGGCGGTCGGTCGCGGGTTTGGAGCGTCGCGGCGTCAGAGGCTCCCAGTAGCGGGGGGCATTCGGGGTGGGGGGTGGGGGGGCACCGGCTCTAGGCTGGGACTGTCCCGGGGCCTCTCGGAGCCCGCCCGCCCACGTGACCGCCCCAAAATATCCGACACATTTTCTCCCAAACCGCACACTGACTCTGCAGGCGGGGACACGGAAAATATTTTCTTTCTTTTTCTCCCTCCCCACCCCCCCCTCCCAGCCTGGCTCCCTCCTCCCCCTCCCGCCCTCGCTCCTCCCTCCCCTGCCGCCTGCCCCTGCCCAGCTCCCTCCGCGGTGCCCTGGGGCTGGGGGGCGGAGGGGGCGGGAGGGGAGGGGGCTGGGCGAGGCGGCCCGGACGCCTGGGTCTCTGCCCCTCCCATCTGCTGAACTTCCAGGGCCATCCCCGGGAGGCCGGGCAAGGCTGGCAGAG